GAAAGTTGTCAGTTTGAAGCTGCAGTCCCTCTGCCCCCCCCTTCTTTTTGGTTCTGCCATGTCCCCCCCATCCCGTCCTGTCCTCCCCCCTCACCCCGATCTTTTCTTTCCAACTTTACTCTCCTTCCTTACCCTGTCTCTGCCCAGGAAAGGAGCACACCAACCTGCTTTGAGCTTAGTCTCTCTTTCTCTCTCTTTTTTCCCCTCCAAACCCCCCACCTATTTTGCATTGCTTATTTTAGCAACATTTTATGCTTCTCTTTCATATAAAACTAGCAGACTACCCCTTTTTTGGCAGAGGACAGTATCCGATGCTCATCAGGCTTACATTCAGTGTTGATTTTGAGTTGCTTTAGAATTTAAAAAAAGCCCAAGTTTCTGAAAACTCCTGAGTTGATAGAGGGATATGATGCCTAACAAGGACTGCATATAATATTTAAACACTCTGTAGAAATTGTAGATTTTGCTGTATAGCAGAAGTACTCTTGTTGACCAGTAAGCTTATTTAGAAAGTGCGGCACTTTGTGTTCTTTGCTTATGACCCAGTTACAGCCCTGGGTAAATGAGAAGCCGGGATTGCCGACACGCTGTGGTTTTACAGGAATTTTGAGTTTGAACGTATTCTGCAGTTCAAGGAGAATAATGCTGGAACTTGGAAATAACTTGTGAAAGTAGAAAAATACCTGAAGTACACCTGCCTTATGTATTTCCGTAAGAAGATTGTACAACATACTTAATTGTCTATCTTTGCAGTATTTCTGTTTTCCAAGCATTTCTCTGTGTGTTTTGTCTTTGCTATCTCTTCATTTTTGTTTGGGTATGTAGAGGCCAAGTGGTATCTTGTGTGTGGAAACTGAAGGTTTTGCTCCTGGTTACCCTTAGAATTTTATTTACTTCCAGTTATTTAAGTCCAGCACAGGCTGAGTGCTGAGGTGTAGACACTGAGATACCCTGGGGTCCCTCTTGCTTTCCTCAGAGGATAAGGCTGAGGAAGAGACATGGGGCTCCAGGAAGTTCTATAATAGTCTAGGAAGTTCTATAATAGTCCAGTATCTAAAAGCTGGTGGCCACCAGGTGGGACCAGGACATGATGAGAATGCAGGGAGAGTTGTTTGTGCTTGACCCAAGTCCCTTGCAATGATATGGCTGAGACTTAGGAGGCCTAAAGATGAACTCTGTGTTGCTTCCCTGCTGGATTTCTTCCAGTTCCCCCCTTCAGTGTTTCTTATATGCTTTAATTTTAAGACTTGCCGTGATGCACAGTTTGCTCTGGGTGTTTCCCTTATGTATGTTGACCTTTTCCATTGATTCAGCTTGGCAAAATCACTAAGAACCAGAGTGCCATGTTAAAAGAAAAATGTTGAAACTGTGTGGTATACTGGGCCTAAATTGCTGGGTTTGGTGGCGGGGGCTGCAGGGGTGGGGGGGCGTACAATTGGCTGCCCTC